TTCCTGCTGCAAATATTTTGACTTATACTGTGAACAAGGAGAAGTATAATCTATCAACAGAGACTTTTGGCAATATAGGCTAAAGGAAACCTCGTTAACTGATACAAGTTTAACTCATATCTGTGTACTTACATGCAATATGGGTACAGCATGTAGAAGAAACATTATCCGGAGGAATATGTGATATCTGATCACTTGTTGGAACCCTTGCTCTTTGATCATGGCATACTTTTAACACACAATAACTATTTGAAGAATTCCCTTTTCATTTCCAAATCCAGTTTTAATTGTGTTTATAGCTTGGGCAGTTTAAGGAGAAAGCTTCTATACACGATAAGTTTGGGAGGCCAATGCTCACGAAGACTGACAGTTCTAACCCCTGGTGGAGCCTGCTTGAGGAAGCAGTCAGAAAAGCTAATGGAAGACTCAGTAAGCCAGAGATCTTTCCTGCATCAACTGATGCTCGCTACTTTCGGGAATGAGGCCTGCCTGCAATTGGCTTCTCTCCTATGGCAAACACACCTGTACTTCTGCATGATCATAATGAGGTGAGTGTTTAATTCACTGCTTCCATTTATATTTCTCCATTTGTAGGCTAATACTTGTGGCTGTTTTTCTCATACAATATTCAGTCATTGCGCGCTAATCTCCGTGGGTGAATGAGAGTGCATGCAGCTATGTTCTATGCAGACTCGTTGCACTTAATTGGAATCGATATAATGCATATTAAACCATCATCGTGTCTGCTCTGTTGCAGTTCCTGAACCAAGACGAGTACCTGAAAGGCATCAATATCTATGAGTCAATAATTAAAGCTTATGCATCTTATGTTGAGGACAAAAGCACTGGAAGCTCCAGAGGGAGCTAATGCAGTATCTCATGTTGAGATACAAGAAACGAAGGCTGCATAAATGAGTTGTGAGGAAGCAGCATCACCACTCATACCCCATCCTTGAGACCATATATGTTTTATGAGTTTCTGGCGGTGAAACACAACAATATTTGAGATTTGCAAAAGTGATGCATGTGTCAATAAATAGGTGGATTGATTATGACTATAATAAGGCAAGAATAGCGCTATGCATTATCAGTTTTGAACCTGCTTAAATGTTCATAATCTTGAAAAACGTACATAATTTCTTAGTAATCAATCATGTATCTTGATCAAAGTAGTTGAATGGCAGGTGGTTGAAAAGCGTTTTCCAGGATTTATATCCAAGTTATATACCAGCACGTTAGATGTCTAGGATCATCAAAGTGATCGCACTCTTATTTCAATTTTTTGATTGATTTTGAGCTTGGTAAAGTGAGGAAAGCATAGAAATGTGTGGCAGAACCGTTTTTTACAACTCGATTTATTAATTGTCCCAGCTGAATGTCTAATTAGCATTACGTGTGTGTGTAGGCTATAAGACAATTATTCTATACATTATTAATCTTTATACATTATTAATTTTTTAATTAATGTAGTCTGAACATGCACGTATCTCAATTAATTTAATAATTATATAAATCTTTATTGACAATTATTATATTAGTAATTATAGAAACTCAAGACCACACGAAAACAAATTCCTTTCTTCATCCCAGGCTCATAACACTACTACTACGAGGCACCTGGATGGTTTGAAAAATATACAAGTTATTGCATGCGTGCGTTGAAGAGGCGAGAGTAAATATTGATATGTCTCTCTTTGTTTTGTTTTTCGATCGAAGTCTTTAATTACATGAACAGTGCAAGGAAGGCCGGAAAAGCACAAGACTAATACATAACAGTTGATAATATGAATTCCAGTGAAGAACAAATTTTTTTCAGCAGCGGTCACAATCCCGAGGATGGCATGCAGTTGGACGATATTCATCAAAGTCATCCATGCCGCTTGATTTCAGTTTGCTTACTAATAGATCGATTGATGTATAGAGGTAAGTGACAATTTATTTGGTCACTCAGTTCATCCGTGGACCATTCATCATTTTTTTGAGGGCTTTGAGCTTTGATGTGACATCGCAGCATTCGTAGCTATAGGTCATTGGAATGGAACAACTTTCCTGATATTTTTGACTTGTTTTCTAATCAGTTTCGAGTGATCACACATTCTGTAATGGAATCTTTTTCATTGAAACGGTTTTTCAGTGCCGGTGTGCCACCCATTGTTTCCGGCAAGTTGGAGGCAGCATTTATTGAATGATCAGATAAATCCAATCAGGCAGTTGAATTGTTATATGGGTCTGCGTCTTCTCCTCTTTCCCCACTCTCTAAATGCTAAGCAGATACAAACCACAAGGGCCAACTTGATCCCCTGTCACCAAAAATCTCCACAGGAACAAAGCCCATCTTGGAAATGATGGTATCGAACGGGATCTCTGATAACAATAATCCGCTGCTCCATCTTTGCTAGAAGTTTTGTAAAGAGATGACAGTCTCCGCAAATCCTCAGATTTTTTCTGATTCTTATAGTTTGACCCCTGGGCAAACTCATCAAACCAAATACAATTGCCAGTTTCTCACTGTGGTATCTTAGGGAGTCTTGCATTTGCTCCCCCTCCAGATCTTGCAAGACAAAATTGGTGTCAGGAACATAGCCGACTCCCATGAGTTTATAAATTAACTGGTTCAGCTCAATGTTGATTTCACTGATTTGTGGATGTGATCTATCTCCTAAGATGAAAGCATGAATCTGCTTACCCACTTCAATCCAGCTACATCCTGGTTCTTTCTTGATTCCTCTGTTAGTCATGACTCTCCTAACTTCTGCAACATCATTCCACCTTTGAGTATTTGCATAAATGTTGGATAACAGTACATAGGTTCCAGCATCCTGGGGATCCAATCTTAGAATTTGTTTGGCAGCATGAATAGCTACATCCACATTCCGGTGGACCCTGCATGCATTTAGCAAAGCCCTCCATGTAACAGCGTCTGGTTCACATTCCATTTCATTTATCAAGTCAACAGCTTCACTGAGCCGTCCAGCTCTTCCAAGAAGGTCAATCATGCATCCATAGTGTTCTCTTCCCGGATCAATCCCAAACAGCTCTTTCATTGAATGGAAATAGTACAGGCCTTCTTCCACAAGACCAGCATGGCTGCAAGCAAAAAGAACACCAACAATAGTTACGTAGTTTGGTTTTATCCCCAAAACTTTCATCGACTCGAACAACTTCAGGGCCTCTTTGCTGTATCCATTTTGTGCCAAACCAGCAATCATGGTACTCCAGGAGATCACATCCTTCTCTACCATCCGAACAAAAACGGCATTAGCATCTTCCAAACTTCCACACTTGCAATACATATCCAAAAGAGCATTATTCAAAATCAAATCTTGATCGTACTTCAACACATGAACATGGACTTGCCTCCCCAACTCTAACAATGCCAACACAGTACAAGCTCTCAAAACACTTGTTAGCGTCGTTTGTTGGGCTAAGAACCCAGCTCTCTTCATTCTCTTAAAAAGCCTCAACGCTTCATCACCATCGCTATTTTGAGCAAACCCTGCAATTATCGAACTCCAAACAACCAAATCCCCAGTCACCATCTCATCAAAAACACGCAGTGCATTCTCCAATTCACCCCATCTGGAATAAACATCAATCAAAGCACTCCTAACAAACACATCAGAGTCTAAACCAATCTTAATTATACAACAATGCAACTGCCTAAGATTAAACAGCCCATCACAGGCTCTCAAAACCGAAGAGTACGTGAACATATTCGGTCTCACACCTTCTCTTAGCATCAAAACCAAGAACTCCAACGCCTTATCATTTAATTTAGCAGCAGAATAAGCTGATATCATCGTTGTCCAAGAAACGACATTTCTATCAGGCATTTTGTCAAACACGTCCTGTGCATCGTGTAGAAGACCAAACTTGACATACATGCTGATCAAAATGTTGATTAAAAACGTTTTGGGCACGTGCCCGTTGGAGAAGAGATGGACGTGAATACGTTTGCCATGTTGAATAGCTCGACGGGCCAGGCAGCACTTGATTAGCTCTGAGTACGTAATACAATCAGCCCGTATACAATGTGTGTGCATGAGTTCCAAGGCTTGCATGGCTCTGGGCAAGTCTCTTTGATAACAAAACTTGGTGAAATCATCGAGTAGGGAAGATGGGAATGCCTTGTTGGAGACATTGAAGGTCGCTATGGAGGTGAGAGAAGCAGTTGATGATAGCAAAGACGGTGGCTTTGTCATAAATTTATTCACCACCTTGCTTGAAATTGTTTTCATAGCGTAGTTGTGTTCAGGTTTAATTCGAAGAGGCAGAAGCGGGCAGGTTTTTAAATTGGAGGGTGAGATTTGAAATGAGAGAATTACAAATTAAGTTCATAAACTTTTTATCTTTTTCTTTTTTAATGTCTATGTCTACTTTTTTTTAATTGTTTTTTATTTAAAAATATATTGAAATAATTTATATTTTTTTAAATAATATAACTTCATAACTTGTATAGAAAAAAATCTTTAAAAACTCTTATAAAAATTTAAATATGATTCAATTATCAGATAAAAAATTATAATATTTTTAAATTATTATTATAATTTAGAGTGACTGAATGTTCTTTTAAGTCTAAACATATTCTATGTTCGATTATGCATGTAATCTATATAAAATAAATTTTCATTTAATTAGAGCAAACTCATACCTAAATGCTCAGAATGATTCATTATTATGTAAATAATAATTTTTTAAAATTTTAATTGAAGTTTATTTTTTAGTTTATAAATTAAATAAATATAATTTTTACTCATAAAATATATTTTAAAAAAAATCATAAAATTATTATTTTTGTATGAATCATGGGCTGATTAATATAAATAGCAACAACTATTTTGTCGTTGTGATTTATTACGTGGATCACGACATTGCTTTTAAATCATTGATGCAGTTCAGTTAATAATAAATAATCATTTCAACTAAAAAATCTAAATGGTTAAAGTGAAAATTTTTGAGTTTTTTGAGTTTGGAAGCTGCAGAAACCCTCAACTTTAATATGTGGTAGTGGAGAGGGAGTACCATGGTTGAACAAGGCAACAATATCTCACCTCGTTGCAGAGTGGCATTGCTCTTGCAGAAATAACAACACTCATGTTTTACTTCTGTGCAACATTTCAGGTCTATAAAAGACTCCAGACTTCATCTAATATTCTTCCTAAAACCATTGGTCAAGGTGTTGTCAGTAGCAGTTTTAGGTGGACAGCCATGGGAGGAAAAACAATCTTCGCCTCATTATGGAAATAGACATCAATTCAATATTCAGAGATATCATGTGATTTATTGGAAGCAAGGCGTTTCTCCTAAAGTTAAATCCACTGTTCGCAGATTGATGATTTTATTGCCCTAGATTTTTCCTGAGCTTTCTTAATAAACAATCACAGTATCATTGATCTGGTAGTAGATGGAAAGGCAAACTGGATCATAAAGACGAGGAATTGTGTAGCAGATTGGTTCGCTTCCTATGCATTTTAACTAGAGTTTGGGTGCGCGAAGCTCTGGATGATCTGCCTGCAGGATAGCTGTGGGGATGCTCATCCCAGGCCGTGTTATTAAGGTCTTTGACTCCTCCTTTTGTATTCTAAAATTAAAACTTAATGTTGCAGCTTTATTGCGCAAGAGAATGCCAGGTAAAATACCACGCTTGAAGATCAGACCTTGGCCTAGAAGTTAAGGTCTAATGTACCAGGCCATCAATCTGAACAGCAACAGCACCTTCTTGTTACTTTTTCCCAATTTAGAGGGAGGACAGGATAATAATACGTCCCTTGAAATTCAAACCAATAATAAAATGATGTTTGATGATGATAGCAATCAATTTCCTTCCTAATCAAAACCCTAAACTCTAAAACAAGTACTCAGCCATAGATTGGCCAGAAGGAGCAGACCATGGCACTTGAGTGACAACCATGCACTCCTCGTACTCAAATGGGACCTCTCTTCCATCAATTTTGCAAGCAATTGGTTTCTCAGATGCAAAGACCCTCATTTCTCCGGTTCCTGTGACGCCAATTTGGACAGAGCTATTAGCATCGTTGTAGGCCAATGACTGGATAGCACCGCCTGTGTTGAGCATGTTCACCAGGCCTATAGGAGCAACCTGGACTAATTTCCCCTCCAAGGCAGTAACTGGGGAGACAGTAATGAGCTCAAAATTGAATGGTTCCAGGGCTATCTCAATGTTATCGTATGGTTTGCAGAGAACCAGCATTTTGGACTGGGAAAAGTACATGGCAAACACCTGTACTCCTTCAATGGAAATTGGGTTCTTGCCACTA